TAGGCCTCCTATTTGGAAAAGGTAAGAAGAATTAATGTGCAGATTAAGTGTTATTCATCAGTACAGGGGAATGACATCGTTGGAGCTAGATCCATTCCGGCCAATAAGATTATTTTCTTCCCAATTTGATCACCCCCAGCTAAATCTTTTTTTGTTTTATCAAAAGGAGAATGTCTTCTTGTACAACTTTTCAGTGTGGGAAAGAAGTGGCTTTCATTCTCACAGAAATGTGACTTTATTTAATTGCATATGGTATAACCCCGGTTAATGCATTATTCTAAATGTTGTGACATTGTTTGCTAAAATAATAAGGAAAATTCTGTAAAATGTTACAACGGCACTGAAAAAAATGAGTTATGGCTGTGTGTGTGTGTGTGTGCGTGTGTGTGTGTGTGTGTGTGTGTGTGTTTGTATAAAATTTGTTATGGGTGATCAAGCAAATTGTAGTAAAAATTATCAGTTGTCAATAAATCTGCTTTCTTCAGGATCTTAACTCTCAATTGTTTGTAATGTATGTCCAGATTTTGTTTTCACCCTATTCAGAGCTTTTTTGTAGCTTTGGGAGAAGTTTGCTTTCTATCCGTCTATTAGTATGGGGAAGTGATGCAACTTACAACCTACACACACACACACACACACACACACACACACACACACACACACACCACCATGTCCCCTGGAGCAACTGTTACTTACAGGCGATCGTTAACCAGCACTTTGATAACAAAGCCTTTGGCCTCCCTGGTCAGTCCTGTGAACATGCTCTCCTCAAAGGCCACATTGTAGTTGCGGATGTTCATGAGTGTGGTCTTGTCATTTTCACCCACAAATGGGGAGATCCCTGTGAGACTAGGAGAGGGAACAGTCAGCAAACCTCAGCAGACATTCAAACATCATTTGTGGGATAAAGTCTGGGGCTTCTTTATCTGCTCAATGTATACAGGAAACAGTGGGGCCAATGAATTGGAGTAGCTTTTCAAGGTTTCCCCAAGCATGAAAACACTCTAAAGAGAAATGAATGCCAGGCCAGATTATTATAATTATATTAAGAAGCAAAACCCCAATCTTGCTCATTGTGCCACTTATTCACTATTGTATGGGAGGTGGAAACATTCTGAGTCCTGGATTAACTCCCCAAACTTACCATAAATAGGTCATGACTCCCACAGGCCTGTAAAGAGAGATGACAGAGAAAATTTTACTGCTTTGATGGACCATATAGTAATGGCACCTATACCTGGAAAATCTAAAAAAGCTGATCAATATAAACTCAGAAGCCCTCGGATTTGAGTCCCTGGGTTTTTAAAAAAAAGGGTTTGACGGGGGAAAAAAACCCAACTCTTAATTCAAACAAGCACACTCTAGCATGGTGAAGAATGCTGTGTAGCATGATCTAATTCCACAATCTAGTCTCACATTCCCCAAGGCAGTTTTAGTTCTGACATAAAAACCTGATTTATGTCACCCCGAAGGCGAAGTTATGAATGCTGTATAATCTGTGGAACTGAGCCAGCTTCGCATTTTCTCCCAGCTGGCTCTTCTTTATGAAGCTAGCAATCTTAGGCAGAAATACAAAAATGTTGCCCTAAGCAGTAATTGCCCTAGAACCATTTCTGAGCTGTAGTTGTTTTCCAATATCTTAAAGCCTCTAGATGATGCTCTTTAAGTCCCTTCTCCCTATCTATATTCAGGGATGCCCACAAAAATAAGCATCAGTGTGTAGTTGCCCCAATTTACCAGACATCGGTGACCACGGACACAGGACTCTGGCTGACAATCTCGGGACCAACAAATTCAGGGGTGCCATATTTGCAATACTGCGGTTCATCTGGAGTCAGTTCCTGGGCATTGCCAAAGTCACAGATTCTCACCTGATCACTGCCAGGTTCAGCCAGCAGTAGGTTTTCAGGCTATGGAGGAAAAACAAAATGGAAATAGTTTACAATTTTAAAATAACATTCCAGTCAAAACCAGGCCTTGGATTTCTGTTAGCTGACCAGGATTATCTACAGCTTTCCTTCTGTGCATTATTTATCCCATGGACACTGATAAAAGTGCATTTCTTAGACCTATAGCCAATGTTACTGTAGTATTTACTAGAAAAAGGAAAACTATTTTGTTTTTATCCTCACTACCTGATTAATCTGTATTTCTGATCAAAATTGGAGAAAGTGGTAGAAATTATCACTGATTTTGTTTCTCCCATATCTTCCTTATAGGAAGTTTTAATGCCAAACATTCTTTTACTAGAAAATCTCAGAAACTCCCTTATTAAGCAACTTTTCATTTTTCCTCAGTATGTTGAACAATCTGAGCTCCTGCAATCTGACAAAAATGCTTTTGAACTATTCCTTTTCCATGCTTCAGGGCCAATTAACAGTTCCAAATCTACACTACCATTTCCATTTCTGGTATCACAAAAATCTGATAATGGGAAAGAAAAAGCCCAAAACTATGAATTGTGCCATAGGCAAAAAAACCTGGAAAAAAAAACAGGAGAAAAAGTTTTAGTTTCTTTCCTAAAAGAAAACTATTTATGATTGGCCATGTTTATATGTCAACCATTTGTGTGACTAATTCTAAAATCTGTTCCTGAAATTCCAAATGTGTAACATTAGCCCAAAATGTTGGTGTGCATCTTTCTCTACCGGTTGTATTCAACCTTCATGAATTCAAATTACAATTCCTACCAAGAACTGTGTTCAGTCTTATTAAAAGGATAGGCCAGGGGTGTGGAATTTGTAGTCCTCTCTGCTTAATTTAAGACGCCTCTGCTAGGAATCAGCTCATACATCTAGTAGTAGGAGTAATCTGTTGCTTCCCTGCTAACCCATAAGAGGAGATGAAAAAGCTCCAAAGGAAAAGCATATCATAAAATGAACAAAATGAATTAAACCACCTAGTTTGAGTTTTGTTTGTGCCCTCTCAGATCCTCCCATCTAAGGCAATATAGCCCTAGAAATAAGGAGAGAGAAAAAAAGCAAAAAACCATCATTTTGACTTATGCACAATTATTTTTTTCAAAGGCAAAGTCTCATCATTCGCTTTGAAACCTTTGTTCTCAGAAAACAAGTTAACATTAACTTCTATTGGCTTTTATTTCCTATGCTGATCACAACTTTTTTACAGATCATTCATTAGCCTAGTATTCCTCAACTTTAAGATATGTGGACTTCAACTCCCAGAATTCCCCAGTCACAGTTCTGAGGTTAAGAAACACTGTCGGAAAAGTGGCATGTCCCTGGCTAAAAGTAAATCCAGCCTACTTCTTCCTTTCACTGAACAATAAAGAGTAAGAGAAGCCACCCAAATCAAAAGCTTAGGGATGCTATAAGCTTTTCCAGATACTTCTGTGCAACTGAATTATTTATGGACTTGCCATGCCATGCATGGCTATTAGATTGTAGCTAGCATCATGGCACCCTAGGGCATGTCCCTTTTGGCATACGGTTTCTCTGTGTGTAGTCAAAGATGCTAGCTAAAATAAGATTTAGCTGGCAATTTCCACTGCCTCTGCAGAGAGGAGAATTGCATTCACTGAATTCTTATGTAACCTTCAGTGAATGTTTACCCGGCCAGAGAATTATACTTTCATGCCAAAATAGGCTAAACGTTCAGAAAACCAAGTAAGGCTTCAAGCATGCTGGAACAGACTCACCTTAATGTCAAGATGTAAGATGCCATTGCGGTGGAGATAACAAATTCCCTCCAGGATCTGCCTCATGTAGCAGCGAATCTGGAGGGAGAATTGAAAAGACAGAAAAAACCAATGGCATTAGAAGTGTCCATGCAATCAAGTGTAACTCCATGTTCATTATCAAGCAAGCCGGTGCTTTCCCTTCCTATCCCTCATCCATCCAATACTTTGTGCAGAGACTGGTGCTGAGTTTACTTTGGTTGCCTAGCTGAAACCCTTTCCTTGAGGAGGAGGAGGAGGAGGAGGAGGAGGAGGAGGAGGAGAGAAATGAGGTGTTGCTTTTCCCCAGCTTTCTGCATTATTACCCTTTTGCAGGGATGTCAAACTGGTGGCCCACGGGCCAGATGCATCATACGCAGGCCACCCCTACCCCAGCAAAGGGGAAACCGTCATGATACATCACGTGATGCAGTGGTGAAATTCATTTTTTTAACTACGGTTCTGTGAGAGGGGCTTAGTGGGCATGGCAGGAGAAGGATACTGCAAAATCTTCATTCCCATCCCACTCCAGGGGAAGGTTATTAGAAAATCTCCATTCCTTTCCCACTCCAGGGGAAGGATACTGCAAAATCTCCATTCCCACCCCACTCTGGGGCCAGCCAAAGGTGGCATTTGCCGGTTCTCCAAACTATTCAAAATTTCTGCTACTGGTTCTCCAGAACTTGTCAGAACCTGCTAGATTTCACCCCTGGCAACATGACGCCGTGAGTTTGACACCGTGCCCTTTTGGATAACCTGCCTGCAATTGGAGCATGAACACTGTTCTAATTTTGGTTTATCTGGAGAGACCGTTCCAAAATCCAATGCCACTGGAGTGCTCCTCTGCCCAAAATTCAAAATGAGGTGTCCTCAGTAATACTAAACATCTCCATCTCTAAATTTCCATTCATAGGATGTAATTCATATGAAGTCACCAAAAGTTAAACTATTGTTGGGGATTAGTCAGAGGCAAATAACAAGCAAACTGCAATAACAATCCTCAATCATGACAAGGCAGAGGTTATGGTGGCGGGAGCATCATCCGGCATGAGAGATGGTATCACAATCCCTCTCATCACATTCATAATTTTGACTGAGAGAGAATGTGGGGCTCAGCTGTGCCGAGATAGTCCAAATGCTTAATGCTTAAGTTCTAGTCACACTTCTTTTGGTCTTTTGCAATATATACTATCAGTTTTAAGAGACAGTTTGGTATAGTGTTTAAAGGAAGTGGATTAGAAAGCAGGGGACTGCCTGACTTTAGGCCAGCCACTACTTTCTCAGTCCAGGGAAGGGGGAATGGCAAATCACTTTGAAAAATATTGCTGCAAATTGCATAGACATGTCCAGACAGTCACTAGAAGTCAAGACTAAATTGAGGGAGGGAGGGAACAAAAATCCCAAGGGTTTTTGATCTATTCCCAAACCATAAGAACTAAGTGACTCTGGATACTTAAAAGCCACATCAAAATTAAGATCCCTCTTGGGCTCTTGACCAGATCTTTCTGGCATTGAAAGTAGAGCAGGTGGTGTTCAGAAATTGGATCTTCTCTAAACTACATGCCTTATAGTGATATATCTAGTATTTTCTTTGTTCTCTCTTTTTTGCACAAGATAAAACATCTTTTAAATGTACTAATGGATGATTACTATAGATCTATTAATCCTGAATATATTCTAACACAGGAAGATTATCTGCATGATTTGTGTTGTGATTTGGCACAAAGGCTCTTTTGCATTTTCAATTTAATGCAAACTACCTGGGATGCTTTATTGGCAAAGACTGTGATGATTTTTTTTAAATTAATAAATCCCATGACAGTGAACAGGTAGAAAAGCTTCAGAGAATCTATATTGATTATTTGAGCTGGCACTTACTTCAGATTCACTCACAGAGGACTTCCTCGCAATGCGCTCAAGCAGTTCGTCTCCAGTGCAGCTAAAGCGTCCATTAAAGAAAACAGTAGGTTTTAAAAGTCAGTGACTTCCTACAGACAAGACCCGTTTCCCTTGGCAGTATCCTAAATTATAGATGCTTAGAAATGTCAGGACCAGTGAAAGCCTATTCAGGAGTTCTCCATATACTCTTATCTAAATGACACCAAGTCAATCTTGAATTTCAACCTTGAAATCCTCAGCAGGCACTCAAACATCATTTGTGGGATGAAGTCTGGGGCTTCCTTATCTGCTCAATGTATACAGGAAACAATTCTAGAGTGGGGCCAATGAAGTGGAGTAGCTTTTCAAGGTTTCTTAGAACAGAATAACAGAGTGGGAAGGGATCTTGTAGGTCATCTAGTTCAACCCCCTGCTCAAGCAGGAGACCTTATATCAATTCTTGACAAATGGCTGTCCAGTCTCTTCTTGAAAGCCTCAAGTGATGAAGCTCCCACAACTTCTGAAGGCAAGCTGTTCCATTGGTTGATTGTTCTCACTGTCAGAANGCTGGGGAATTCTGGGAGTTGAAGTCCAGACATCTTCAAGTGGCCAAGGTTGAGAAACACTGCCTTAGACTATCTACTGTTGACCTCACCCCATTCCTAAGAGGTCTGTAAGGGGCAGGCATAAGCACACCAACCTGTCCCTGTCCTAATGTTCCCTTTTATTCGCCTCCATTTCATGTACTCTGGAATAGAAAGAATAGAATAACAGAGTTGTAAGGGACCTTAGAGGTCTTCTAGTCCAACCCCCTGCCTAGGCAGAAAACCCTACACCACTTCAGACAAATGGCTATCCAACATCTTCTTAAAGATTTCCAGTGTTGGAGCATTCACAACTTCTGGAGGCAAGTCGTCCCACTGATTGATTGTTCTAACTGTCGGGAAATTTCTCCTTAGTTCTAGGTTGCTTCTCTTCTTGATTAGTTTTCACCCATTGCTTCTTGTCCTACCTTCAGGTGCTTTGAGAATAGCTTGACTCTTTCTTCTTTGTGGCAACCCCTGAGATATTGAAAGACTGCTATCATGTCTCCCCTAGTCCTTCTTTTCATTAAACTAGACATACCCAGTTCCTGCAACCGTTCTTCATATGTTTTAGCCCCCAGCCCCATCATCATCCTTGTTGCTCTTCTCTGCACTTTTTCTAGAGTCTCGACATCTCTTTTATAGTGTTGTGACTAAAATTGGATGCAGTATTCTAGGTGTAGGTTTCCCTAATACATAATCGGCAGCATGAGAACATTCCTAAGAGAAATGAATGCCAGGCCAGACTATAATCAGATTAACAAGAAAACCCCAATCTTGCTCATTGTGGCCTCAAAACAGGCTATTGCCTGGATCATTGCACTGCCTACTCAGCCTTACAAATGAAAGAGGATACAGCTCAGTAATGATGATGAGGGCATTCCTCTTCTCAAAGGCATCATGGAAGTACACAATACGTTCATGGTCCAACTGAGCTAAAATGCCCAGCTCACGACGGGCTGATTTTTTGGCTTTGGCCCGGCATGGGATGAACTTTGCAGCAAAAGCCAAGCCGGTGCTTTTCTGGGTCACTCGCCGAATGTATGAGAAGGCTCCCCTAGAAAACAGAATATCGTGAAACATCAGGCAACTTTATTGTTCAATTTAGATGGTGATTTGATTCGATTTTCGATTTTCGATTTTGATTTTATTGTATTTCTATGCCGCCCTTTTCCCAGAGGGACTCAGGGCGGCTCACAATCAAATCGGGGGGGAGGGGGGGGTTACAAACGGAAAAAAGAAAGACAACGGTACAGAAATGAGGAACATTGCTTAGAAGAGAACAAAATCCAGGTTATCCAGCCCTTACTAAGACACTTCTGAAGGATTTCACGTAAATATTTTTCTCTCCAATGTGTCACATTCATTAATATGTCATATTGATTGATAGCTCTGCCATCCATTGTTTTATGTCTTTAGAATGATTTGGAAGGAGGGGGGTTGTTGGCACCCCCTAAGCTTTGGAGCCCTAGGCCAGTGCCTACTTGGCCTTAGCCTAAACCTGTCTCCATCTCCATCCCTATTTTAAAAAGTCCCAACCCAACTAGTCACAGTTGCTGCCTGTCTTATCTTCCTCATTTTCATTCCCTCTTTCTCTCACCTGCAGATCTCCTCATGGGCATCATAATAGTCAGCAAGACGGCGGGCTATGTGTGACTCTTCTTCTGCTTGTGCAGCATCCGAATCTGGTATGGCTGAAAATCAATAAGACATCGAAGTGGTAAAGGAGAGGTACGTATGCAAGAGAGCTGTCATCAGTCACACTGCAGGTAAAACTAAGATATCTAGGTGTTTCCACATAAACCTAATTGTTCGCCCTTAATAAAAACAATTGGAACTTTTGCCTTCCAAATTCCACTCTTGAGCATCTAATTTCAATAACTGACCTCAAAAACAATGGGTCTGATTAAAGCAGCAAAAAGTGTAGACTTTCCTGATATCTACTATGGTCCAGGAGCAACTGGGAAACAAAGCTGTTTGCCTATTCTTGGTGTCTAGGGCTTCCAACGAGCTAACATCTGGATGCTCATCCCTACTAGTATCACATACCTGCATGAACCACAAGTTCAGCCTTGCAAGACACTTCTCCAGCCAGGTTGCGTGCAGTACATGTGTAGACTCCACTGTCCTGCTCTGTTGTGTTCAGCACAACTAAAGAGCATTCACTTTCCTCATATACGAAGCTCAGGTGGTTACTTTCAGCCAGGAGCACCTGATTCTAATGGAGATAGATTTGGGAGACAAAGGACTTGTAAAAAAACAGTCTGGAACAGAGATCTCCAACCTTGGCAACCTTAAGCCTGAGGGACTGCAAAGCTGGCTGGGGAATTCTGGGAATTGAAGTCCCCCAGGAATTCTGGGAATTGAAGTCCCCCAGGAATTGAAGTCCCCCAGCCAGCTGGCTGGGGAATTCTGGGAATTGAAGTCCCCCAGGCTTAACGTTGCCAAGGTTGGGGATTCCTGGTCTGGAAATCCAAACGCTTATATTGTTTTGCTTTGCTCTCACACATCTGCTGTTCTTTATGGAGATACAGGAAATGGGTTCCTTGAATCCCACAGTCTAAAGGTTTTCTCATCTTTTACTCATTATTTCTTCCTCTATAAGCCAGGATTGTTTGGTTAATGTTTCATTATTTCAGAGGAGAAAGGCATTAGAAGCCAACCAAATAACACTTTCTCTGTATTGGTATTTTGACGGGGCAGGTGATGAAATAGCTTAGCCTGGCTGTTAACAAAAAAACTATGCCAATCCAAAAAAAAAATGTGGAATGAACTAAGATGAATGCATATAAGATCATCTGGGAAGGAAACAGACCCTGCCGGTTAACATTGAGAGGCATCATCAATAACTTCTTAAAATCTGAAAACATTCTGCAGGTATTCTTAACCCAAAAATCTTCTCAAAATTGGATACATATTCACCTTGTACCACATAATATCTGGAAGTGGTTTGCCTTCTACTACCACTGCGAACTGTGGTGTTTCACCTATTCCAACTTCGATATCTTCCATGATTGTTTCAAAACGTGGTGCCTCTGGAAACAGAAAAAAAAAAAACATACTCAGCTGGACCAGGAAGAAGTTTGCCAGAAAGGTTCTCACTCCTTTCCATGGGGAGTATTGTCCTGCAATGTGTGAAAGTTCAGGGCTTACTAACCAATACGACCAGGAATCTCTCATAGTTGGTGACTCTGTACTTGCGACATGAGTTTGTAGGGTGTGCATGCCGTAACCCTACTTATGCACAAACAATAGTTTGAAAAGCAGCCCTCTCCTAATAACTTGATTAAAAAAGGTCATGGGACAGTCTTCAGATGGAGTGAAGTGGGATGATCTCCCGTACCTGCCAGCTCCATCCTGATGAAGCCATGATCATATCCATGCTGGTTGCTCACCTCGCAGGTTATTTCCCCCACATCCCCCCTTCCCACCCGGAGGAATCGCAAGGTGTGCTGATCATCATCAGGCATGCTCATCTCACAGTTGGGATCACCATCCTTGAGCACCATGCCAGCCCTGGGAGGAAGAAGGAAGAAGTGTTTTTGATAGAAAGCAACTGTGTTCAACATGCATCCTGTTTTTCAGCCTCTTCCATAAGCAGCAGGCTTCCACCAATGTCCCTTGTCAACAAATATCAACACTTGACTTTAGGCTCTGGAACCTAATTGTAACTTCTCCTTACACATGTCCCAAAATACACAGGGTTTCCAATCATCCTGGAAAGCCCATCTAATTAATTCCACAACTAACATGGTCCATGCTCCGGGAGAAACACTGCACAATAGCTTCACAGCATTTCTCTGGAGCTGTAGGATGGTGTTACTTCCAAATGGCAGAAAGTCTTGCCTTATGCTGTCTCCTCTCCTTCAGTTTATACTCTTTGTTCAGAAGCCAAGGGGGCCACAGTACCTTGACTGGGGGAATGTGGACCCCTACTTCTGTGCCAAACAGAGTAGTGATAGTGGTGGGCTTTTCCCGCCTCCTTCCCATAAAAAGCTAACAAAAAATGTAAAAACAGATTAGCTCCGCTTTTTTGGCGGATTAGCTCTACCTTTGGCTAAATAAAGTGCTGGCTGCTACATGAAGGGGAAGGAGAAGGTGGGGGGACAATTGCTAAGCATTTTACAGCAACCTCAAGATAACTACAGCAAGGAGGCAAACATCAACATGGAAGAGGCTTGAAGCTTCGTATGTATGGAAGCTCAGCAGTAAGAACACAATTCACGATTCTTCTATATTTTAAGAACCTAAAAAATATCTTTCCTTGGATCTTTGCCTCCCTTCTGCAAAGATGCTTAAAAGTTGTTCTGTCATCTCTAGCAGCTTCTGAGCCTCCTGCAAACCTCACCTGGGCAAGTGTGAAGTAGACTTAAAATGCATTGCGTGGTTGACCTACCTCCTCCAGGTGACAACAGCCTCAACATGGTTGAGAGTTATAGTGATGGAAGCCGACTGTGCCTCTACTGCATATACCACATCTGGCTTGTCCAAGATTATAGGGGCCTCTGCCATATACGGACCTGAGAACACACAACCCATCACATTAGAGCCCCCAGCACAGATCCAAGAAATTCTACACAATCACTGCAGGGAGAGATTTCATGCTTCTCAATTTGCTGAGGTGAATTTCCTTGAACTGTATATTAAATGAAGTTCATCCATGATACCACTTCCATATACAGATAGTCCTTGACTTGCGACCACAATTGAGCCGAAAATACTGTTACAAAGTGAGACATTTGTCACGTGAGTTTTGACTCATTTTATGACCTTTCTTGCCTCAGTTATTAAGTGAATCACTGCAGTTGCAATCAATCTGGTTGTTAAATGAACCTGCCTTTCCCATTTATTTTGCTTGTCAGAAAGTTACAAAATCTGATCACATGACCGAGGAACGCCAAGCATCCGAATTTTGAACATGTGACCATGGGTATGCTACAGTGGTCAATAGTCACTTTTTCAGTGCTGTTGTACCTTTGAACAGTCACTAAATGAATTATTATAAGTCAAGGACTACCTGCATTTCCTTTTTCTTAGCCACTGGGCCTGAATCACCTTTCTTAGATCAGATTGTACCAAAAGTATTCTTAAATAGCATCTCAGCCAAATGCTGCAATGGGGAGACTTCTTTCAATTCTTATATAAAACTTGCATTGTATGAAGAATGTTGTTCACAACTTTTCCCAATAGGACACATTCCAGATGTGCTGGGGATACTGGCTAGGAATTCTGAGAAGTGTAGTCTGAGACATTTGAAGGGTACCACTTGACATCACTGGTTTTAGGAAAATGTTTTTAAAAGATCCATTTGAAAAGCAATATTATTGGGACAGGATTTTAGAAACAATGGTTTACTACTAAAAAGGTCCTGCTTGCAATGCTGACCACTCCTCTTGATAATTTAATATTCAACTACCAATAGGAATAAATTTCACAAATAGAAATAATTAACAACCATCTTCCCCGGTAGGAAAGAAAACTTTCTATCTTGAAACAGACAGTTGGATCAACCCCAAAGCAAGCCAGATGTAAATTATTTTATTGCTAATTGTGGTTACAGATTTAGAGCCTCCAGTGACTAATAATTTTTCCTATAAAACCAAGGCTTTTGGAGCGTCAAGTGTTCTCAAAAAATCTGAGGGCTGTCATCAACTTCATATTTCAACAAAAGAACAGCGAGCAAATTTCTCTGAAGAAGGCGTTCACAGCCTTTTGTATGAAATCCTGAGGTAACTGAATTCTTTTGAACTGGAACAACCATGGTCTAAGAAAAAACGAAGAAGTAGGAACATACATTTTTCTTCCATTGTTATAAATGCCTTTGATCCTCCTGAATCTAAAGAAACATTTTTGGGTAATCATTAGAGTGTCAGACAAGGAGTTGATTCCCGAGTTCAAATTTCCTTCCTAGCCATCAATACATAATTTACCCTTAGCTTTAATTGTGCCAACAGATGAGATGACACCTCTCCATCCTCCCAATTCCATTCTTGACTATGACTTCCCCTTCTCCTTCGTCTCCCCACCATTTTGGCTCTCTTCCCACAGATTCACTGTGTGGCAGAAAAAGAACAATTTCCTTTTGCCAAGCAGTTCCATTTTTTTAAAAAAAATCTTGAGCTCCCCTGTTATTTCAGCATGGACCATGTATCATTGGAATGTTTTCTTTGGTTTCCTTTTTGAACTTGGGCTGATTCCTGCCTGTGTGTGGAATTTTTAAAGGCTGCACTTCTGAGAAAAGGAGTAGGGGTAGGAGAAGAGGTGATTGGGGGTACTTGGTTTTTGTTCGTTGCATTTTGTTAGCTAAGCTGTCTTTGCTTCTACGAGAAGGCAGGAGTACTTTTAGTAGGATTTTACTCTCTCATGAAAAATAGCCATTTCCTTGCCTTTTATTCTTTGGGTGCCTTACCATGATCTAGGAGCTGCACTGGTTCTGTGGGTGGAGAAGGCTTGCTGTTAGCCTTAGCCGTTGCTGTGAGTACACGGAACATATAGTAAATGTTTTTCTTTAGAGCCAGAATGGTATGGCTGGTTTGATGCAAGCCTGTAGTAACAACAGTCCAGTGGCTGGACCCCAGGATCTGCTGCTGGAGAATATAGGTGACAGAGGCAGGGTCTAAGAATAGAGGAAGGAAAATGCCAATAAACTGTGACTCATAAGTGAGAGCATTCTGGACTAGATCACAGGAACACGCAAGAGAGATTAACATTTTGTGAGTAGGAACCTGCCTCAGTTTGCAATATGGCAGTCCATGAGAGAAACTATACAATGCATATTCTGTATAAAGCGTTTCCCTTCCCCTAATGAGCACTTTTAGATGATTATGAACCCCAGCTGAAATCCAACATTTCCTGGATATATTAATGGTATGCCCAGTTGGTGGTGATGGTGGTGTGGAAATAGCTAAGTGTGGGTTCTAGCCATTAATCATTCTGTGTGTTGTTTCTTTTCGTACTTTTCCAGTTAAGCAAGGTGACAGGAACTTCATCTAGTGCAGTGCTGCTATACATAAAAGAAGAGCAATACTTTCTTGGCTGCCTTACATGCATTCCTCTTAATCATTCTAAGCAGGGAGTTTGTTCTTTTCTTAAAGCATTCTTACACAAGGCAGACATTTTCTACTCGGATTCCCAGAATCCTTTTCCTGGTCAACCAGAGACCGTTCACATACTATTAATATATCCAGGGAGCTTGATTTATTTATTTTTCTTCCCATCAGTATCTATTCCTTGACATTTCTTTACATTGAACTGTTTTTGTTATTTTGGTGGGAATTTCTCAAGTGTAGAAAAATCCTTCAGACATTGTTTATAATCCTGCTTTGATTTTATTATGCTGAATGGTTTTGTTTCATTAGCAAACCTGACTGCTATGCTACTCACTTCTAATTTCAGATCATTTCTAACCAAATTATATAACTAGCAACATATACCCTGGGAGGAATCCACCACTCCTTATATGCCATGACTGCTGCTGAATCTGATAAGGAGCCCTTGGTGATGATTGTTATCAAATGCTTTTTGTAAGTCCAAATTCACAGGATCTGCTGTATCACCCTTGTCCATAAATTTCTTGAAAGGTTCATGTTTGGCAAAGTCACTGGGTGATATTTGCTCTCCAAAATCATGCCTTCTGCAAGGTAAAATCTTGTTAATAGTCTAATTAACAAGATTTTACCTTGCAGAAAGCATGCTTTTGGAAAGCAAAAACCACTCATTGCTGATATGGACATAATTGCCAATTTTATGCTGCTGAATGATGCCTTTTCCCTATCAGCAGGATCCAGGTTGAGTGGGATGCAATAGAAATTTCAATGGCAGCTATCAATTAGAGGGGACTTTGTCACAAAGACCACCCCATATTGTGCACACAAGTGCCCAAGAACAACCCGGTTTCCGCGACACGCGTTATGGCCTGCCTTTGAAAACCCATTAGACTCTAGAACAGTAGAATCTGGGAGTAAAAATTTCCCTTTGCATCCCTGTTGCCTTCCTGTCCTTGCCTACCAATAGCTGAATCCAGCCACTTTGGCGCATTCCAGTTCAGTGTGACACCTCTGCCAGTGACAGCTGCTATAGTTGGTGGACCATCAGGAGGTGTGGGTACCACATCTGTAAAAGACAAACATAGGGAAAGGGGAAAATAGTGCTTTACTTTATAATCAGAGTTACCTCTGGTCTTCCTTTCATCAGCTATATCAAGAATTCTGTTGTTTTATTGTTAAGTCACTTTATTGGGTCCAAGTACTGTATATTAGGTGATTTTCTACACATACCAATCAAGAAATAGAGGACTGGGCAGAATCTCATGTGCTATAGGAAAATAATCTCTGCGAGGGTTACAGACCAGAAGGAGGACATGTCCTTTTTATCCTCATGTCCACTCAGCAGGCATAGTCTTAAAACCAAACAGATGCTTAAGCAGAAGTTTGTCAAAAATGAATAGGAACCTCTTCCCATACCCCAGACTCTTTCCTTACCCGTGACATAGAGGTGAGCATAGCAGGTGGCTTTGCCCACTTTGTTGGCAATAACACTTTTATACACTCCAGCATGGGCATGATTGACAGAGTTGAAGACCAAACGGTGTACATCCTTATCTGCAAAGAGGAAAGACAGATGAAGAGGTGAAGGGTGGGAAAAGGGCAAGGTCACAAGATGAGATAGTATTTGTCGGAGTTGGGCACCAATATTTTTAGGAGCAGGCAGCCAACAAAATAGCTACAGAGAGACTGTAGGAAAATACTGCTGAGGAAATAGTATGGAGAATATAACGGGCAAGCTGGCAAGAAATGAGTATTTCCAGGCTATTTTAAGATCATTCTTCCTTACAAATTTGGAAGGTGAACCACAGAGTCAGGTGATAACAGAGCTGCGAGTTAAGTTACTCTGCCAATTAGCCCATATCCAATCCTGAAGCAAGTTGTAGCAGTAACAAACCCAGATAATGAATTTTGAATGCCATGAATAGGAGCAAATATATATATATATATATATATATATATTAGGACACTTTATTGGTTTATTGGTTAACCAAAAACCAAAGGACCCTTCCATATTCATCAGCACTTCAATTCTTCATCCCTCAAAAGTAGCTTGAATCTCACCTGTGGTCATTTTCATTGGTTTGGCAGTTCTTAATATTTTCAAAACACCATTACTTGGGCAATATTCCCACCAACTGACCAATCAGAGATAGCATTCATCAGTTTTTCAACCCCCTCCCATCTGTTTTTATTTTCTGTTGTATACAATTTGGCTTGAGTTTTGCAGTCCCCAGCCAAGGTGTATAAAGCTGACTAGAACTTTCCTTCCTATTGCTGCACATGACTGAGGTGCAACTAAATTTGACAATCTAGACCAGTGTTTTTCAAACTTGGCAACTTGAAGATGCATGGACTTCAACTCCCAGAATTCCCCAGTACAATGTTTATATGATGAGTGGCATTCTGGTAACATAGTAAATTTCTATTAGGAGAAAAAACATAGCATATGCAAGAGTGTGACCAACTTAGAAAGCTAGAAGACTAAATGTTAAAGAATTAATTACTCAATTAATTGATGAACTAGAAGGAAGAAAAATAGATATTTGCTATATCTGTGAAGTAAGAGAAATAAGAAGGATGTAATAGATATAAATGAATCAATACGAATCTTGTTCAATGGAACTGACGGATATATATGGAGGAAAGTTAAGGCATAGATTATGAACGAAGGAGCTAAATTATATCAGGTGACATGAACTGATATCACCCAATGTTGAGGAGATGCATAGGAAAATAGGGATTCATAGGTTAGGGATAATTGTTTGTTAAACTCTAGTGAACAGTGATAATTAAAGGTGTGCAATATTTAGACCCAAGTAGATCAAGTTGATTTGAATCTAGCACGGACATCCTAACCGCTCTAAATGCTCTAAAGGAGTCAATTCTTTCACTAGGTTTACAAAGGAACCACATGGGACCAGGAACATATATTTGAATTAAGGAACTGGTGACAAGATGGTGACTGTCACCACCTCTTTACTGCCTTCTAACTCAGAAGGTAACCTTGGCAAGTACTCAAGAAATGTGTTGAGACTATCACAGAAGCCAATTGCAAAAGTCACTGAGGGAGAACCCCAGCTCCCGAATGCTGCATACAATCTGGTCCAGCGCCAGCATTTTGTCAAAGGCCACCCATGTCCATGCAGAATTGGATCAAGTGTCATCCTCCTCAAATTTGCCTGCAATCCCTCAAAGGGATACAACTCACAGTTTGAGGACAAGAAGCAGGAATGTACACAAAAATTACAGGCATATTAGTTTATGAAGTATGCTTAGGAAAATGTTTGTTTGAAAAGGTATATAAGAGGTGACAATCTGCAAATCTGGGAAGTGGAGTGAGGCTTTATGCCAGGCAACAAATGTGTAGACTCTATTTTTGTTGTTCAGCAAATCATAGATAAATAGAGGAATGTGTGGAAGAAAGTTTATTCTACATTTGTCAATTTGGAGAAAAACTATGATAACATAAATATAGACATAAATATGGCCTATACAAATATGGAATTGATGATGGGGTGCTATCTGTGGAAAGTGGAAACATAGTATATAAATGGAATATTTAGTGAATAGTTCAATACTGAACAGGAAGTAAAACTTGGCTGTTTGTCACCCTTTGACTAATGGATTTATGGATGATTGTTTAAGAAATGCTTAGGATGTCATTAGAGATGCCTTGGTTTGGGATGTGAAGCTATGTATTTTTGGATGCAGATGATACCATGCGGTTGGCTGATAACTCAAGTGATTTGCAGTGAATGGTAAGTAGATTGTATGATACAGCAAATAATATGGATTTGAAAATTAATTTATCAAATAACAAGGAAACTATGTTGGCAGGAAAGTGGAATACATAATTTTCAAATTACAGCTAAATGGCAATATATTAAGTAAGTAGATGACTTTGCATAACAAGATAGAATATTTATTAAAGGAGGGATTTTATGACTTGCAAATGCTAGTTAAAATGTAGTAGAATGGAGTTTGTTGCAAAAATGAATTTATTTAAACTTACATCAAATATAGACTACCACCCATCTCACCGACTCAGTACAGTGTATAATTAAAATCATAAAAATCATGTAAAATATTATATTTCAATAGGAAGAGGTTAAAACAAGAATAGTATACGTAATTAAAATTAAAAAGGTAGGGGAAGGGCATTCAAGATGCTAACCAACCCCAAGGTTGCATTATGTTGAAAGAAGCAAAAAATGGCTATGAAACATAAATGTAAATTGAATGCAGGGGGGATGAGTACTGAAGACAGTGTATGTATAAATAAAGAAGGGGATAGAGTCAAGAATTCCAGTGAGTACGGAATACAGTTGAATGACTATACTTGGTGTGACAGACAGCATGAATGAAGAGCAGATGTATTTATGAATGATGGGTGAATGGGTCAAGAGGAAGAAGGCTGAGAAAGTTATAATTGGATAAAGCTGATGAGATCCTATAAAAGGGAGAGGTTAGAAATTTAAAGTAAAAAAAAATCACCATATGAACTTGCAAATGGATATATCTGTTCACTCAGTCCAGAGTACACAGGAAAAAAGTGGCAGTATGAAGAAAGAAGCAACTGCTTTATAAACCTAATTGCTATTGCTACTGCTTGTTCATTCACACCCAACCAGCTGGCAAGGAAGCAAGCAGGCAGTAGAGCTCAGGGCTAATAATAGACAGAAAGTCTGATGGCTATTGCTGAAAAAGATGGCAGGGCTCTTGGAAGGTTACTTGCCCAAGAACCTCTCCAAAACTTGGAGCTGACCCTATTTCGTATAGAAATTCCCATGTGTGCAAGAAAACCTGCAGGGTGGAACATACACTGTGTCATTCGGCGGTCCTCAGAGCTCTCGATGCGCCGCCCATTGTGGAACCAGGTAATGGTTGGATAAGGAAGACCAGCCACTTGACACTCTAGCACAGCTTCTTTAGATTCCACCACATCCAGATCATGCAGCGGTCGCAAGAAGTCCGGCATGGTGAAGCGTTCAACTTCACCCTCCCCTTGTTCTGGTTCTTCAGGGATAGATGGCATCTTTTCTAGCTTGGAACTGCAAGAGAAAGGAAGAAGAGAAATCCCTCAAATGTATCAACCAATCCAGCTACTGGGGTTCTGGCATATTTTTCTGATGCTTACATATAAATAAAAACTTTCAATGGAAAGATCTCTACAGCAATGGTAGTTTGCCTATGGAAGAAATGGTTCTCCATTCTGGGAGGCATTTAAGAAGAGGCTGGGTAGCCACCTTTTATGGATGTTTTTAATAGTTCCACTATAGACCAGGGCTATCAAACTCACAGCCCGCAGGCCGATGCGTCACATGCTGGCCATGCCCACACCTGGTTTAGCAAAGGGGGGAAAGTCCCAATACATCACGTGATGCTGCCGTGACGCCGCGAGTTTGACACCCCTGCTATGGAGGGTTAGATAAGGCGATCCTTGTCTAGTGAAAGTGTCTGTTGCTGAAAGAGGAAAAATCCTTTTTGTAAAATGAATTTGACATTTCATTTAAGAGTACAGGCCGACAATGCGTAAGCTTTTTACTCTGAGGCCTACTTTCCCTTTTGATTCACCTTTTTGGACAAAAGGGGTCATGCCACAGATTTCCAATTCTGTGGCTTCGCATACAGGTGTAGTGTTTCTTTTTCCCTTTTGAGCAAAGAGCAAACTACCTCCTGTGGACAAGCCACAACTATGTCTCAGAGAAACAAACATGGGAAAGGCAAATATCTATTTCTAAAATAGATCACATAAAAAAGAAGAAAAAGGGAAATCTGTTGCAAATATTCCCCAGGGAGAAAAAGTATGAAAAGAAATTGAAAGACTTTTCATGGTTAATGGAAACTCAAGCAATCCCAAAGGGACCGAGTTCAAGGCAAGTAAATGTGGGTTATGATATTATTGCATGGAAAATATGCTGGATCGATCCTGTCTTTTAAATGGAGTATAAAGGCCTGGCTTTTCTCCCAACCTCTGTGTTAGATGCAGGGTGTGTGTTCTGTGGGATATGTTGATTCTCTGGTATCACCTTTTTTATTTGTTTTGTTATATTGTAAGGTCTTAATCTTGTATGCTGTCCAGAATTACTGTGGATTGGGTAGCTCTATAAATATGATTTATAAACAAATGCATTTTATCCTGTTTGACTATGTGGGGATGGAATAGAGAGCATGAATCCACAACTGATTTGTTTGGCAATGTATGCATAAAGATAGACAGAATTACAAGAAAAATCAACCAGGTTTGGGATTATGTATTAATGTATATTAGGAGATTAATAGGAAAATCTTTAAGTGTTAAAAGTTGTTAATGTAACCTTGAATTCTGTAGCATAGCTGTGGAATTTGATTGTTTATCAAAAATCGTGGTTATATTGAGCATGGAAGGGGGATGATAGCAAAAATAACTGTATATTAAGAAATTGGAAATTCTAGATGTCAAGGAATGGTTGTAGGAACTGTGTCATCTATCTGTTTTGGAAATGGCAACATTTTCTACCAAAGGATGCAGCAATATGTGATATTATGGTAGAAATTTTGTCATATCTTACAATAGCATCTTGTATTAGCTATATTATTAGTGAATTCATTGGTTAATCAATGATTATTGATAAATATAAATTATAAAATAGACCTTTTTCCCAGTTTGTATCTTTAATTTTTTTAAAGTTTTTAAAGTTTTTTATTGTTACAAAAAACCAAGAAAAACCAAACTGGTAAAATCGGTGTTGATGTTCCTCTCAAGCAACTCTTTAAAAAAAAGGAAATTATAGTATTTTCAAATAGGAAAAATTAGTCAACATCTCCATATTTTCCTTGAGCAACATATAACCTATACTGTAGCTAGTGAAGTTTTCAATGGCCATAGGAGAGTTTTCAATTGCATTCAGTAATATATTACAGGCAGTGAGGTGCAGTCAGGGGAGGCAGGGCCTCACCACTGTCATCATGAAAAGAAAAAGAAAAGAAAAAAGGCTGAGGTAGTTGCTGCCAGAGTCACAGTGGATGACTCTGCTTAGTGCTTAACTGTTTAAAAAAGCCTCTAAAAAAGTGCCCTCTACAGGAGGAGGCGAGAGAACCACGTGCCTCATTTAGTCTATCTTTATGATCACTCGAGCAGAGTTAAGCAAGAGTTAAAAGCCAAAAAAATCCTTATGTAAATGAGGCACTTGGTTCTCTTGCCTCCTCCTATAGAGGGCGTTTTTTTAGAGACTTTTTTTAAACAGTTAAGCAGAGTCATCCATTGGGGACTCTGGCAGCAGCTAACCCAGCCTGACCTCAGCAACTCTTGCCTTTTTCCTTTTACATTTTTACATTTTCATCATGGCAGACAAGAGCAGAGTTGAAATCCTCTGTGAAACAGCTGGAAAAGGTATGTGAGTTGGAGGGAGAGGGAGGAATTCAAAATTAATGTAATTCATAAGTAATTGTATTATTGTAATTTGTGTGTGTCTGTGTGTGTGTGTGTGTGTGTTTTACCCGACTCTGCTGGCGCGTGGGCTGGCACTTTTTTTTAATGTCAGACATAGCGGCAGGGCTTTTGGGCATAGTGGCAGGGCTTTTGGACATAGCGGCAGGGTTTTTGGACATAGCGGCAGGGCTTTTGGCCGCCCCAGCACTATGTCCACCATAGAGGGACGCCTCTATGTCCAACACAGCGGCAGGGCTTTCAGACGCCCTGTGATCAGTGACGTGCAGTGAGGTTTATGGCTGGTGAAGCAAAAAGAAAGACATAGTGCGCTCCCCGGTGCTTGAAAGCGGACAAAAGACGCCCTGGTGCTGTGTCCGACATAGAGGCGGGATGCCGCTATGTCGGACATAGCGGCAGGGCGTCTTTTGCCTGCTTTCAAGAAAGCAGGCAAAAGCCGCTTTCAAGAAAGCTTTCTTGAAAGCGGGCAAAAGACGCCCTGCCGCTATGTACGACATAGAGACAGGACGCCTCTATGTCGGACATAGTGGCAGGGCATCCTTTGCCCGCTTTCAAGCGCCTGGGAGCGCGCTATGTCTTTCTTTTTGCCTCACCAGCCATAAACCTCACTGCACGTCACTGATTACAGGGATCCTATGATACCAAAATGATTTCAGACTGTGGTCCACATTGGAAAGGGGAACCGTTGAACCTTTGTCAATGAAAAGCATTCGTTTTTAATACAAGATAAGGGGGATTGCCCAGCTAGATTTTTTTTTATTGTCTGACTAATACTTTCCATTATCCAGGATACCTTAAAAACCTGTGTTTTTAAGCAGTGGCAAGGACATTCTTGGAGACAACGGAGTCACTCTTCAGGGCTCTTTTTATATTACACGTAATTGGTTCAATTGGCCTTAATAGAAAATGTCTCTATTTTGTCTTGATAATGTCCCTGGCCTCAAGCAAGCTAATTATAGTTTGCTGATGCATCAGAAGTTCTGTGCTCTGAAGCATCTATAAAATCTGGAACTGGAAAACAGGAAGGGGATCCTCAGAGAAAGCTTGTAAAACTCACAAGCAAAGCTGTTTGGTTCCCACAACTTCTGTCCGTCTGTCTTAGGGTTTATGTGTGCATTTAAAAGCGACACACAGTATTTTAAGGCAAGCAGCTAGACCATGTTGAAGTCCATCTCCCAGAATTGCACATGAGACTGTGTTAATCAGAACAGTAGCCAAATCTGGTTCCCAGATTTGAATACAGAGTGATTCCCAGATTTTAAACTCTATTTTCAAGAGTTGCTATTAATTCTTTCATGGGCATGAAGAGAAAGAAAAAGTCCATCATTGGTTTGATACCTGTCAAGACAGCAGCCTATTTTAATGCATGAGCTTTCCTTTGGGTTCATTGGCTAATGGAAAGGCAGAGATGGAGTAAAAATATCACTGGGTCAAAATCGAAAAACCAGTAAAACAAAGTACACCCATCTTTTACCTAAGAGGATTTAAAATAACCAAAGAGAGTTAGAGCCCCATGACTGGGGATCAGGTCATAAATGCATTGCCATAACTAAGGATGCTTAGCTGACTTTCTTGCATTGTTACAGCTATATGGCATATTCAATTGTACAAAAGTCTCTAGGATCTTCATTGGATGTTTCCATAACCAATCCCCACTCAGCCCTTTTTCCTCCTCCTCCTCCTCCTCCTCCTCCTCCTCCCACTCACATCTGGGAGCTAGCTGCTGGCCGCGGCTCCTCCACATACAGCTCTGCGGTGCACTCAGCTCGGCCGTGCTTGTTGCTGGCACTCACCCCGTACTGACCCTCATCCTCGGAGCTCACATGCAGGATGACCAGAGAGTGCAGACCCCCGTCTTGCTGTATACGCATGGTTTCCCCCTCTTGTACAGGCTGGCCTACATCAGACACATGACAGTCAGAGTCTGATCCAGAAAGGAGTAGAAGACACAAATGGGTACCAATTTATATGAAAATTAAACAACCTAGCATTCAGGGCCCATGGGGGAGAGGCAATAATAACATATACTGTAAGTCTCTAGGACTTAGACCATAATTAAGATCACTGGCAGAATACAATAAAAAGAATCTTCTTGTTCCCTTTCCATAATCTTGAGGGATAGAGAGAGAGATATTAAAACTTTTTGGCATGGCAGCAACCATATTTTTCCTGCAACTACTGTCATCGTCAGCGACTGAACGTGTTCTCATTACCAACTGGTAGATTAACAGGTCACTTACCACCCCAGAATAGAAGCCACGCTCTGTTGAGAAATGGCTATGCCGAAAGGCCACTGCAAAGAAACACGTTAACAGTGAAGGAAAGGCTGCAAGATGTGGATATGGGTAGTGTGGATATTTTTCACCTCAGTAGATTTTGGTGGGATTCGGGCTCAATGAGGTCTGAAGCCAAGGCAATTTTTCCCCATTGGTTGTTAACAGATACATCACTAGGAGACCAAATACTGATTTCTGATGTGGCAATTGATTGCAAGTCTGGCTATAGATGTTCCCACAACTTTTTTGAAAGAGAATAGGATTTAGAACCTGTGACCTTCTGCCTCTTTACCACCAAGCCCGGCCCAAGTAAGTGGATAACCATCCATGTATATTGACACACACACCCCTCCATAGCAATGTTGCCTGATCTTAGAACATCTTGTAAGCTGGGGTCTCTGAACTGAAGAGATGGGGGAGAGAATTACCAAAGTGGGTCCAAACGATGGTTGGTGGGGGCTCCCCACTGATCTTGCAGTCAAGCCGTGCTGTTCGTCCTTCCACCACAGCCACAGTTTCCAGTTTGCGGGTGAAAAGGGGATGGCGTGAAGGCCACACTGTTAGTTTGGCACTGCAGGTCAGCTCATCTGCAAAGCACAGTGGACAGTCAGCAAAGTATCCACAGGAATTTATCTTTTCCTTGCCTTTAAAAGCTTTGGAACCTAGCAAGACTATAGGGCAAGGAAAGCAGCTTGCCCTATAGTCTCATAGATATATGAGTAAGTATGGAAAGATATTAGGGGTGGGGGAGAGCCAGTTTGGTGGAATGGTGAAGGTGTTGAACCCAATGAATTTTAGTCCCATATTAGGCATGAAATCCAGCTGGGTAATTTTGGGCCAGACTCTCTCTCTCAATCCAACTCACCTCACAGGATTTTGTTGTGGAGAAAAAGAGGAAGAGGAAGGAGTATTATGTATGTTCCAGGGGTGGGTTCTGGCAGGCACTACTGCCAGTTCGCTTGTGCGCACGCATGCTCAGTACAATTAAAATTGTTCTGGGTGTGCGCAGAACTGAAAAAGAATATGGTGTCGCCTATGGCACCACCCGGGGAACCAGTTTGGGGGCATGGCAGACCTGGGTCATTGCCGGTTCCAGCAACCCAGACCGCCAAATCACTACCAGTTCAGCCAAACCGGGCCGAACCAGTAGGAACTCACCACTAGTATGTTCATCGTCTTGAGCTATCCGTAAAAAAATATGAAAAGCAAGGGTTTTTTTAAAAAAATATATCTCCAAAAAGCAAAATAACCAGAAAATGAAATTAAACTGCTTTTACTTTTTTTGTACCCTTCTTAAATGTTGTTCCTGCCTCTGAATCCCAAATTCTTCTTGGAAATGGAATTCTAAAGATTGGTATTTGGCTATGGATGCACTCTTGTACTTTAAGTGACTATTTTGCTGACACATGAAATGAAATGTCTGATAAATGTTGGCATGGCAGATTCAGTGGTGGGTTACAGGCGGTACGCCCTGGTACGGGCATACCGGAGCCAGCCCGGAGCACTGGATACCATTCCGGTACGGTGCTCCGGAGGGCCCACCTGCCCGCCTGAGCTCCTTACCTGTGTTTTAAAGCTGCTGCGCTGCTGCGCATGTGCATGGTGCATACAGCACCTGCACTGCTCCGCAGAGCAGCTGGAGTGTCGCGGAGCATCATGGAGATGCTAAAATGCATGCGCGTGCTGCACGCGTCCATGAGGACGCCGCCGGCCCCATTCCAACCATACCAGTTGGAACAGGATTTGAAACCCACCACTGGGCAGATTGTTGGTGAGGCCAGATTAGAACTAATTTCATGGCAAACTTGCTTGGAACCTTTCTCCCAATTCAGAGCAACTGTGCTTCCATTCCTACAGAAACAGAATCCATTCATCTTGATCGTATTAGACAGGCATAAAGTTTTCCAGATCCCTTCTAGCTTTCTGCTTTACAATATTCTTCTCCGTCTGGGAGTCAAATGTAAATAAAGTGTAAATTTTCTCCCTGTAAGAATGTTACAGCTACCACTACCAAAGCAAGCTGGTTTATTTAAATAATTTCATATTACTTCAACAAGGAATCCCTAACTCAATTTATGTATACCTACGGTGGTCTCCGTAAAAGAATGTTACAATAAAAATCAATCTACTATAAAGCTGCCACAGCTTGTCACAAAGGTGCAGGAATTTTGAATAGGGTTTTTAGTATTTGCCCTTTTTCTCATGCTGTATTGCTCCAATAACCTGGGAAACATATTTGACCAGGGACAAACTCAGGTCAAAAGCATGGAATATAGTATCTTTTTCAAACCATTTTGAACTTCCTTTAAAATCTAGACTCCCTTCAGTTTGAAAAGCTCTGCAATCACATTTCTGCAATACATTAAGCAGCTTCCTATTTATTTGGTATTTTGTTTTATTACTGATCTGAATGTGTGTGTTTGTGCCAGGTGTCAGACTAGAAAACATGTGTAGATGAGCTTTTCAGTGGTGACCTCCATGTTTACCTCTCCTTCCCAAAGGAATATACAAATGATTCCAGTCTTGTTTTCAATCTGTTTAATTGTTTGGTGCATTTTATTTGGGCTGTTTAGCTAAGTTACATGTTTTATACTGTTGCTTTAGTTCAAGAACTTACAAATTATCTGTGCATGTACATTTTAGCATACTTGATTGTAAGTTGTCTGATGATGATTTCAGCTTCTAAAAAGCGGAATAATAATTTTTAAAAAACAGAAATAAGCAAGAGTGTAAAACTGTTTCCAAATGTTCTTTCACTCCAACATTTTCCAATTTTTGGAAATAGTTGCCAGAAATATACTTTGAGCTCTATTACATAGAGCTTCTAATCATGATGTTCTGCCTACTTTTTGCTTCCCAGCCGATTGACTGCCAGGAAGGAGAGATACCTAACTAGAGGGAGGGACATTGGCATCTTGCATATGTAGATGTGTTGATTTTTAGCTAGATTTGGACATGGGTGTCTCAGAAGATGAAAATACAGTCAGTACAGAATCTACAGTCCAGACGTGGGTTGCTAATTTTTTTACTACCGGTTCAGGTGTGCTCCCGTGTGTGTGTGTGTGTTAGCAAGCAAGCAAGCGACACTTCTACGAATGCGCAGAAGTGTCTAGGCAGAACCTCCCACCGCCACTACTACTGGACTGATCCGAGCTGAACCGGCAGCAACCCACCTCTGCTACAGTCTCTAAATTCTGAAAATCGCAGTACCTGATTGGTTTTGGTTATTTAAAAAAAAAACAGGCAATATTATACCTGGATAGCAGACCACTACAAAATCCCAGGGCTGTGAACTAGAATGGGAAGTTGATGAAACATCCTGGAAGGAGACAGCAAGCTACTTCCACACTAAGAAAACTATTGACATGCACGTAGAATCACTAGGACTTAAGCACAACTCAAAGGGGATACTGCTTTACCTTCAGTGTAAGCCAGTGGACTGCAAAAACCAAATGATTTCTTCTGCAAACATGTGCTCAGGAATTTAGCTTCAAAAATAATAATCTAAACATCAATTGATAAATTTAGTTCTGGCTGTGGGTATCATTTTACTTTTCTCTTTTCTCAGTTTAACCCATTTTTCATTTTGTAAACAAATGTTAAAGATAATGTTCTCTGTATTGCAAAGATGGAGAATGTAGGGCTTTCAAGCTGTTGCTAAGCTCTTCCCAGCTCCAATTCCTCACCTTTGCAGTACAACCTTTCACAATGTACCCTGTCTACGTCCATCAAAATACAGCTCAAACATTGTTAGAAAGATGGAATTATAGTCCAGCATGATCGGAGGGGGTATGGCTTTTTTTTACCAAACTGCTCTGCATCTTTCCTAAATCTGCTGACTGAGCTTCTCTCTTTGCTCACTCTGACAAGCTGATGCTTTTCTCCAGCTTCTGGCAAAGAGACAGGCTACTTATTGGCATTCCAAAGGTGATGGGTAGTATCTGTGGGTGGGTGTTTGAAACCATCACTGTTGCCACCCAGGAGGAAGCGTGACAGAAAGGGGAGATAAACAAACCAGCCCGGCTTGTTCTTATGCTTTTAATGGGGATTTGAAGTGGAAAAATCAGCATTCATACTTTTAAAAATAAAATAAACTATCAGACAGATGGAAAAAAGAGGTTTAGTGACTTGATGAGAAGTTAGCACCTCAACCACCCAAGTGTTCTATCTATGGCTTATTTTAGGGATAGGATTAATATCTGAAGGTTACAGGGTTCTTGGGCCTTTGCTTAATATGTTATGTGGATACAACCACTGATTTGTAAACTATGATTTATGACTTACAATAATTATGCATCAAAGAGGCATAACCTCAGTTATTTATCGTGTGAACCCAGTCAATAATGGCTTAACAAATCAAGATTAAATCAGTGCGTGAACCCAGATCCTTTCACCTATGTCTTCTTCACCTCTGCTTGTACAGCATTTCTACCATCCTTACCTTTAGCTGTGCTTAACTTGCATGTGTAGATACCACTATCATCTTCATGCACAGAGGTAAGCAGCAGCTTGCACTTGCGCCCGTCAAAATGCATCTTGCACTGGAGCAGGGCAGGCTGCAGAAGGCGCCCCCGCCACAGCCAGTCCACATCCACATCCGATGGGCCAGCAACCAGGCATTCGAAGATCGCTGCATCCCCAGCCCCCACCACCACGTCCTGCAGCGGGGTCAGCACTGCCAGGGAGTGTGTTTCAGGGTGCACTGGGAAGGAGGAGGGAACAGGAAGAGGAAATGGAAAAAGAGAGAAAGAGACATGTCTCTGAGCAATGGAAAAAAAAACGGGACAGGATGCAAAGAATAAGGTGTGGAAAGCATGCAATGGATATTTTTATGGTTAAACTAAATTGTCATGTTGCTACAACCTGTTTGATTTGTGAAGTTAAGGCTTGGATTATCCTACTCTAGCTGGCAACTGTTACACACTGTTCTATAAAGAAGTTAAACGCAAACATCAATTTCAGAATTATTCTCTGGCCTCATCTGCAGATAATTCACTTTCCCCATTTCCAGAAATTCTGAATGTCTGTCCTTCAAAATCATAAAGGAGACAGAAATCTATGACCCTGCATTCTCCCAAGGTAAGGAAAACAACTGTCATCCCTTTGCAGAATGACCTTAGATGTTCAAAATTCAAAGGAACAGAAAGCATGTGTAACCCACAGACCTTTTTCTTTCTATATCTTAAATATCAAAGCTACCATTCCATTCAGTGGTTGGACAGAAAAACCCAACTATCATATAGGATTCCTGCAACCTGGTCCAATAGCTCAATCTACCTCATAAAAGGAAAATGTTATCAAGTTTTCCAGTGAAGCCCTTCCTGAGCCAAGAAGAAATAGCTAACTTGCCCATTTCAAAACTGGAAATTTTAGAGCAAAACAGAGCAACATTTTATTTATGTATTTACTCTGTTTCCAATATCTCAGTTAAACACTGTAAACCAGGCTCGTTTTTCCTTTCTACAAATGAACAGATTGTACAGCTGTGGAAAAGCAGTAGAGTTATTTATTTAGATCAATATTTCTATCCCACCCTTCAGATGCAAACAGAGTGGCTTTCTCCTAGTATAACTGGCATCTCATTAACCACTGCAATAGAACATGAATGGAGACAAAGCAGTCATAATCCAAAGCAAACTCGATCTGAATGGGAAACCATGATGGGGTATGGAGAACACAAAAGCATGATATGGATTAAGAAGGGGACATGGGGAGAGGGAAACAAGGATCTGTGCTAAGAACAAACCACACAGTACTTTTACCAAACAAACAGACTTTATTTCATCTACAAAAAGAGGATTCTCTATAGCCCAGCTTCTGTGAGATACTCTCAGAATGGGAGCAGAATGATGGTAAGAGTCAGCATCCTTGGCTTCCACTGAAGATGCCTGGAGACCAATGTCTAGTGACCTCCCATTGTTTCCAAAACCCCTCTTCATTCTACACAGTTCTGGCCAAGGGGGGAGGGGGTGTCTTTCCTGTTCACTTTATGTTTCCCAGAGGTCGTGGTTGGATAAAGTGGCCTTCTAACTGAGAGGTCTTGGAATTGAGGCATAACAATGTCCAGATGTGGCCTGTTCATTTCAAAGCTACCCCATTTTAATGTGTTGGAATCATGGATGAGCAGAAGCCTCATGAGAGACCAGCAAGAGAGAGGACAAGCTAGCATTCTGCTCTAAGCCCCCAGGAGGAGGAGTGGGCAAAGGCAGAGGAGTCAAGCAGACATGGACATATGAAGGAAACAGCACCACACACTGGCCACAGTGTAGGCCAGACAGCAGTGAAGGCCAGAATGGGCACTGCACACCATCAGCACCTGGATGGGGAATGCCTGGTAAGTAGGCATGCTGTCCACTTTTGAGATTCTGTGTCTAGCACAGAACATATGGAGATCCATCTGGATGAAAGCTTCCTGCCCAAACACTAAGGAGGTGCCACAGATTAATTCCACTCATGTAGCTATAGGGAGCTCAGAACTGCTCAGACAGCTAAAGGAAGTCCCCAACTACTTTCCCACCCGCTGTGTCCCATTCCCCTAGCGGCAACCAGGCTCTGCGTCCAAGGTGAGTCTCAGCGCTGGCCATCCAGAAGCCAAGCCTTGCCAGCCTGGTTTGTTCAGTCGTGCCGGGAGTAGAGGCAACTGCCCAGGTTGTCTGGCTAGAGTGGCCCAGGGGCCAGGAGTACCTTAGCTCACTCTCCCTGTACAGACAAAAACACAGTCAGCAAGCGAAGGATTAGTGTAGCATGATGGACATAAAAGCAAAGCACAGACAAATTCATACATGCTCAGCCTAAGCAAAAGATGTTCACCACAGCACAAATACATTTGTAGATGGCTGACAAAAGCAAATGAGTCAACACAAAGCAATTGCACACATAAACTCTCACACCTATCTCACAGTATCGTCCATAAAAATCAACCCCAAACTGAAGCTGGGCAGAACACCCAATTCCCCTTTTACTAGCCTGGAAAACATGTCATTAGAAACTTTTTGTAGATCCAAATAGTGGGTCCAGTAAGCACACTTGTAAGGAAGCCTGCTTCTATTTTCTCAAGAGTGATGCAATGAATCAAAGCAAAGAGCTAACTGTTACTTAGGAAAAAGAGACATAAGAAAACAGATTAAAATACACTAGGACATCCTCAAAGGGCAGCAGCTACTTTAAGGCAGAAGCAATGATTATTTACCGTAGTTATATTTCTACCCAACATTTTTAATATGGTTAATGGCTCCAAAATGGAGATAGTGCAAACACCAAATTTTCTTAATTGCTAGAAGAATGTAGATCCAGCTACTTCCTAAACAAAATATAGGATCGAGCAACTGAAACCAACCTTTTTTTTTACTACAAGCTACATGAAGAGACAGACTTATGGTTCCTATGCATCACCCATTACATCCAATTTGGGGCTCCCGGCTCCCTTGCCTGATGATGATGATGCTTTATGAGAAGGATGGAAACATACTGCAGCATCTAATTCCTGATGAGTGGGAGGAAAGAAACAAACCCAACACCCATGTTTTAAATAACAATAAATAAGCTGAACAGGGAAAAAATCCCTGCTACGTTGTGGGAAAATATGGTGGGGATATGAAGTCAGGCAGATTATTATGTACCCCACTTCTTGTTGCAAGTGGAACTCGCTAGTGGCTGATATAGAAGGTATTACCAAAACTGGCAATTATAGCAATGTAGTTACGGTACATTATAGAAAGCCAGTTTGGTGTAGAAGTTAAGGCACCAGACTAAAACTGGGGGACTATGAGTTCTAGTCAAGCAACGGCAAACCACTCCTGAAATCTTGCCAATAAAACTGCAGGAATTATCCAGGCAGTTGCCAGAAATCAAAAACTGACTCAAAGGCACATACCCAAATGTTACTTTATGTGCAACATACATAAAAATTGACCTATGAATAATTCTTGCTTCAAATTTTCCTTTCGGTGGCAAGCACAAACTCTTATGAAAAAGAAGAAGCAGCAGCTAGCACCTCTTGGACTTCCAAGTTCAATATGGATGACCCTGACCAATCTGCAAGGCTGTTGTGAAGATTACCAAAAGCTATTCTATCAAAGACCCTGAATATTCAAAACTGTTTTATAAATGCAATTAATTTTGTACTCCTGAGTGTTTTCTTTTTTTCACATGTTCCCCATCGTTGCTCCTCAAGATGGCTTTAGCCAATGGCCATGAAGCAGCTACTCATGGCTAGAGAGATAATACCAAGATTATGAGCAAACTGCAAGCATGTTTACATCAGGGGAGCAGGATGGTTGATGAGTGGAAGAAAGAAGCAGACATGCAGGTGGGATCTCTTTGATCATCACATGACTGGCAAAGCATTACTGTAATTCTCATGCCCAAAGATACCTTGTATATCAAGCTTGGCTTCGCACTGTCTGGTGCCATATTCATTTATGGCCTTGCAGGCATAATAGCCAGCATCTGTGTATTCCACCATGCGGATATGGAGGCAGAATGATCCATCCTCTTCTTCCACAGCAGAAATGCGCCGTCCATATTTTACGGGATGCCTGTTCTTCAACCTACAGTTCAGAACAGAAAGCCTGAAAGTTTGCAGCGCTTAACATTTCACCCATCTTCAAGAGATAATTCGCCCACTTGTTTCTCCACTTCTGCATCCCCCAGAAAAATACTGCATATGCTGGTTCTGCCATTACCCCTGGTTTGTTACAGGGCAGTCCAAGCTAGGAGATTAGACATCCATTTCTTTCTATTTCTTCTAGACAACTTAATATATCTCAGATCTGAGACCAATATTTTAAAAAACAGGGATAGGGTACCATTTGTGCCCCATCTGGTAGCAGTCCAATTTCACATATTTCTAGGAGCACAAAGCATTCACACCCTTTCCATCCACCTACTGCATCTGACAAAAAAACAGAGCAAAAGAGAAGGACTTCATTATGCTTCCATTATAAGCAACAGTGGAAAATTTGTGGCTTCTTTGACGTGGGAAGAAAACAGAGCAGATACCTGCATTTCACTGTTGCTCGCAGTGGAAATGCAACAAATTTGAATGCTAAAATGTCTTTTTTGTGGCATTTTAGCACCATTGCTGAATTTTACTAGCAATAGGGATCCACGATTGCACTTTCTCAGACATTTCCACCATGCAGATATAAATTAACCTTTCCCGTTTTGATTTAGTGCCTTCTGAAAATGAAAACCCAATAATGCAAACAAACCTTTTAAAATATCATGTCAACTGACACATTAGATAACGCTCAATTAGTTGTGGAACACTGATGGATAGGATGGGAGAGGGAAAAAAGTATAAAGGCTTGCTTGGCTAAATGCCTGAAGGCAGCTGTTATTTTGCAAGACTGGAGCAACTCCCATCGCTGCCATCTTACCCATTAAGAATAGTGTCTGGAACACAGGACAGGAATACTTTTAAAACCATACTGAAACATATGACCCACTTACCAGTGGACAATGGGTTTGGGCTCTCCTTGCACTTGAATGCGCAGGACCACATCTTGTCCTTCCAGTACCGTCTGGTCATTTAGTACTATCTACAAAAAAGAGCAGCGAGGATCATGACAATTGGCAAGGGGAGTTCAAAGACTTACTCCCTTCCTTCTTTCTGCTGGAATATAAGACATCGCTTGTTTCTTGTCACATGCAGCAAAAAGACCCAGATTCTATTCCACTCACAATCCAGAGGTGTATTGCTTACACCCTTGGACCTACCTATCCAGGTAGGTCAAAGCTGCCAGCTTCTTTTCTTTATTCTCATGTCATTCTCTCACCTCACCTCAAAACATGGTGCAGCCTTGAAGTTAATGTCTGCATGTGCTGCAGTTGGGCCAATCTCAGAGCGGGGTTGTACTCTCATAACAGGATGGTGTTGAGGGGTGACCGACTCAGGGAACTCTTCCAAAGGGCTCAGGTACTCTTCATCTGAGGTGACAGGGCTGCTGACTTCACGGCGGGGCATCAATCGGCTGTGGATCTCTGCGGGACCTGGACAATCAGAAGAACGTAACAGTACAGATTGGGCAGAGCCCAGCAAAGTGGGAGACAGAAGAAAACATAGCCAAGCTAACAGAAGGCAACTGAGTCAGCCACATATAACAAGCAAAATCTAATTTCTTAAATGACATCCCAAAGTATTTTCCCCCAACCCCCACCATCTCACAATTCTGAGAATTACGGTATCTGTCTGCCTTATTTTATCTTATGATTTAATTTAACTGTATGTTAGGATTTATGATGATTGTATTTTATGATTATGACCACGACATATCAATTGTTGCTTGTATGTACCCAGAGGCAAATTACTTGTGTGTCCAATCACACTTGGCCAATGAAAAATTATATTTGAAAGAATGATATTACTAAAACGTGGAAACATGGACAAAGCAAACGAGGGACTATTCATCTGCCGGGACTCTTTTTGAAGTAACTAGAGTAATAATGTTCCCATATCGCAACAGGAATTCAGCATATCAAGGATGATTACTTGCTTATAACATCTTTTATGATAAATCAGAAAGGGAAAACTTCTTCCTCTTTCTTAATGATAACACAATGATAACAAAACCTTTCCTGAGTTAATGCTCCCCACTTTGGCAGAAAATTATACCAGGATGAAATTTGCTGCACCTTTTGTTAATCTGTATCTTGCCACTACTACTTCTGTCTCAGGGCACTGTAATCACCTGACTTCCTTCCATGAATAAAGGATTTTGCATACTTTGTGCCTATTTTAAGGCAGTGCTGGAATAAGGAGGGAAATGCTATTGAGCTTCAATACAGCTAAGGCAACCTAAACTTGTCTCATTCATGAACTCTGGATTTCAAGAGCGTATGAAGGAGGCATGGCAAGAAAAAAATATGTTGAAGGGAATATTTATGCCTGTATTCAGTGCAAGTGAGCAAAGCCCATAGTCACACATAGGATCAGGTTCTTCAAAAATGTATATTTTTTCAAACATAAGAAAATTAAGGAATAATCTGCTCAGGTTCCACACATTTTCTTATTATATAAAAAATAAAATTATATGCCTCCATAATTCCCTATTTTACTATATGAGATACAACTATATTGTCAACTCTTCCCTTGTTAATTTTCCTACTTGACTATTACCAGGGAATGGTAAAGGAGAGAAAGTCAGGAAGGTAGCCACAGTATAATATAACAATCCCTCTTGTTTTGTGGGAAAAAACAAACATTGGCCTGAAGAGCCTAAGCTAGATTGGCTTTGTTGCTTTTACTTTGTCCCTTTTCTAAGATATTAGACGCCAGGTTTTTTGCCTCTATTCAAGCCCAATAGCAATATTTCCTTTTCTTTGTTCTGTACTATTCCACTGGGTTTTAGGATGCAGTTAGGTATGCTGTAAGAAAAGTGCCCACCTTCAAGCATCCCCACAGGCCATTGTACTACCACAAGAAACATTACCTCAACAAGACTACTTTCATTTCTACTAAAAGAAATATAGTGGTTGACATGAAGCAGAACAACAAAATCAGAAATGTTATACGATATGCAATCCTCCCAAGGCCTGGATATTTCATAGTTGAGATACTCACATGTTGAAATGCTACCCCAACTGGAAAAATAATCCAACCCACATATGTACAAAAATTGTATTTCAGAGGAAAAGCGAATGCTAAACATCATCTCCTAAATATACCAGCATTTCATAAACTGGTAGGTGTTTTTTTTTTTTTTTTTGCTAGAATATGGCAGTACATTTAAACATGTCATTTCCTCCATGTTGATCCTCAAGTGATTATTCTAACATTTCCTAGTAATACCTTTGTCTGAAGCGATAAAGACCTTATACGGATTTCATCCACATCACTTCAAATTTATCATTTTTTAAAAAAAAAATTCAGACTCTC